CTTTATGTTTTTCTTCTTTATTTTGATGAGTAGGTTTGTTAACTTTCTTTGTGGTTACCTTGAAATTGACCCTTATCTTCCTAGATTTGAACCAGTCTATTATTACTTAGTATCGCTTGACTTCCTCTCCATTAGAAGGTGCTATATCTACACCGTTTATTCTCTCTTTTATTGTTCTGATACTGTTGTCAAGTGATTTCTCTGCATCCCACCACTATTTCAACAATTAATTCACTTATTCATTCAACACTTATTGCGCAAATGCCATGAATAAGATACTTGGAATAGAAGAATGACCAGACAGACCTCATTCTCGATGGTTTTAGTAGGAAGACATAAAAATAAGTAACACAGTACAATTCGATGGATATAACCCCAAAAAACCAAACCCATTGCCACTGAGTCAATTTGAACTCATAGCAACAGATATGAGAAAGAGAAATCATGAAATCTTAAACGAGTATCTGATCTTCTTCAGTGGGGCCAAATACCTTGAGGCCTACCAAACTGATTTTCAATCATTTCTTAATATTTTCTCATATTCACTCTCATACATGTTCATACACTCTTACGTATGATTTTCCACACCCTTATACAGCTCAACTCAGCTTTGAATGCTCTCAAAATGGTGATGGGTAATTTAACAATAGCCAAGTAGTTTTTCCTTATGTTAGAAGCAAAAAATACATTGTTTTGTTATAAATATTAATGCCAACGGGAAGCCACTAGGAGGACTCATAGATTACAAAATATCTCCTGAAAACATATTGTGAAATTGCCAATCAAAAACCATTTATTGAACATGTGCTATTTGTAAGACACTATGGTAGGTAGGTAGAGGATATATAGTAATAAGAATGATATTAATAATGATTCCTATCCCCAGGCATAAACAAGGGCCAAACCAAAGGCATAGAAAATATGTGCTGAAGGAGATCAGAGGAGATGGGGATGGCGTCCAGCTGCAGTGACATGGAGACTTGCAATTATGGATGTGTGCTGCTTGTTCCTCCTCTGCCTGTGACTGAATAAACAAGTACAGCAATCCTGGACTGAGACAGTATGATTGCCAGGGGCTCAGAGCCTCCTGGAATGGCAGTCTGGGTCATACCACCAGGTAAACTAAAGCACGAAGACCAGGAGAGGTGATCTGAGGAAGAGGGAATTTAGAATGGACAGTGGGGGAGGGAGAGGATGACAGTTGTGGCCTGAGACCAACTACAGCAGTGAAGCTGTAGTTCATCTCACTAGCCTCCCTCTTGTTTCCCCTCTTCTTGTTTCCCCACAGGAAGAGAAGTCCATGCCAACCACGGAGGAAATGATTCTTGAAAATGGGTCTCCAGAAAACTGGCTCTGTGTGGCACAAGGGGTGGACTGTGGTAGCCAGGGAGGTGCACGACTGGGGTCTTTCCTATCCCTACACCCCTACACCTCTGGGCTCTGCAGGGTTTGAGGTCCTTATCTCCAATATAGGTGCTTCCTTTTCAGGGGAGGCAGTAAGTGTTCCATTGAACTGCAAGTTGTAGCTTCCATCTGGGTACTTTGAGCTCCTTGTGTGCAGGGTCCAGCAGGCCTGAAGATGAGTCACCATCAAGGCAAGTGTAATTGACTTTGACCAGCAGAAGGAGGTTGGGCTGCTCTTACACAGGGGGGCTGAGGGAATATGTGTGAACTTAGTGATGCACTTGGGTACCTCTTGGTATTCCTGGTTTTCAGGATCTGCCTCAGCCTGGAGGTGGTTCCCAGGAAGGTATTTCCTTTTCTTTTTTTATTGTTGTAAAAATATATATGACACAACTTTGCTAATTCAGTATGTTTCAGGTATACAATTTGGTGATACAAATTAAATTAATCATGTTGTGCAACCTTCACCCATAATCATTGCCAAATTTCCCATCACCATAAACAAAAACTCACTGCTTCCAAGAATGTATTTTCTAAACATTCTTCAGGTGATTCTAATGGGCAAATAGGGCTGAGGATCAGGGAGCTAATCTGTTTTCTCATTCTATTCCCTTTCTGAGATAACTCTCACTGTATTCATGGAAGATGGATAAGAGAGTGCTATCATTTATAAAGAGATAAATCAAGAGAATTCCTATGTATTAGACAATAAGAACCCAAGTGCTTTATTTATCTGCATAATAACAGAGAACAAACACAAAGCATGGTAAACAAAAGTACAAGAAAAAGTCAGGTGATTTTTCATCTTCCTATACGCTTAGACTTGCAGGTTTTTTCCTTTTTCTTCTCATACTTGCATTTGGTAAAATAGCTATTGTTTTCTTTAATTGTGATAAACTTTAAACTTACCCCACTTCATTTTTTCTACTGAAAATTATTTATATTCTATTTTTTAGACACAAACTCATCCCTTGTAGGATTTTTAAAACAATAGTTAAAAAAAAAATGTTGCTGCTGAGTTGATTCCGATTCATAGTGACCCTATAGGATAGAGTAGAACTGCCCCACAGGGTTTTCAAGGAGCAGCTGCTGGATTCAAACTGCTGACCTTTTGGTTGGCAGCTATAGCTCTTAACCACTGCGTCACCAGGGCTCCAAAGCAATAATAGACCTATTGAAATTGTTTCTTTTCACATGAGAGATTTCTGTTTATTGTATAGACAGTCATTTTTAAGAAGGTTCTATATTTTACTTGTCTCCTTTCAAGGAGAAGACTAATATAACCCATATAATCCTTTCTTCTTCCCTTCAGTTGTACCTTAGTTTTTAATACATAAAAGCTTCAAATGAAGTGCTTACCTTTGTCACATTCGTGCCTAAGACACTAGCATGAAAAAATAAATTTTAACTGCTTTGATTGCTGAGGTAGAGAGGCAGAATAAAGACAGTTGTAAATTATTTGATACTCCTTTCATTGAGAAATAGTTAAATATTAGCCTCTTCAATCTGGGGAAGCTTTGTGGTTCTTTGAACAATAGAATTTAACAAAAGTGAGACTGTGCTTTACAAGACAGCTTTCAATTACTCCCTCTTAGAACACTCTAGAAGCGTCACTTGCCCTATTAGAAGTCTGATGTAAGGACCACTCAGAGATACCTTGAACCTATGAAATCCCTTAATTAGAATTAGTTGAATTTGTACAGCACTTAAAAGGTTATGAAGAGTATATTCAATATGACTCTAATTTAATAATATATATATATTTAGCTCTATAATACACAGAAAGAAGAGGACTTAGATATATAACAAAATACTAACTATGGCTATCTCTGCTTGTTTAGGATTAGAGATGAATTTTATTTTTTTTCTTCAAACTTTACCATAGTTTCCAATTTTTAAAAAATTTTTACTAGCAACATATATTGCTTTTACACTTAGGAATAAAAGAAAGTAATGTTTTTAAAAGTGTATCTCTTGGAACCATCATGTATATGGAGCAGCTTCATAATAATAAATCAGATATTTATTCACTGCTTCCCCCCCCCCCACTCTCATTTTATGTTGTAGTAAGAAGTGTTCCAGTCCTTGTATCTAATGCTAAATGGTTCACAATTTTGAGTAAGGAGTGATAATAGCAGCTAAAGAAGTGTAGAATCCAATTAGTGGTAATCACATTCAGATAAGTTGATGAATTTTATGAAATTTGTTGGTATGTTCATCTTCTTCCTAAAGAGTCAGAGTTTTGTATTTGAAGTGTATTATACCCATATCATGGTTCTTTGAATCAGAGGATTTGATATTCTTTCTGGAATTAAGTCAATGTATTTCAAGAGCTGAATGGTTTATATCTTTGCTTGATCAATTTAGTATTTTTTAAAGACAGGGAAAATACATTTAAAATTCTGAGTTAACCAATAACCATAAAATATAATTGAAGCATCAGCTACAAAGTAAAATGGTAGAATTGAAGAGGAAACAATCTTCTTATATTAAGCCAAAAACAAAGATACTGATAAAAATCTTTCAACCAGCACTGGCTTTAATGTGACATGACCAGTTTAGATGAAGGGACAAGTAGTTGAGTAGCATCCATGAAGACACAGATTGGACCACGTTGTTGTTGTTGTTGGGTGCCGTCGAGTTGGTTCTGACTCATAGTGACCCTGTGTACAACAGAACAAAACACTGCCCAGTCCTGCGCCATCCTCACAATTGTTGTTATGCTTGAGCCCATCGTTGCAGCCACTGTATCAATCCATCTCATTGAGGGTCTTCCTCTTTTACGCTGACCCTCTACTTTACCAAGCATGATGTCCTTCTCCAAGGACTGGTCCCTCCTGATAACATGTCCAAAGTATGGGAGATGAAGTCTTGCCATCCTTGCTTCTAAGGAGCATTCTGGCTGTACTTCTTCTAAGACAGATACGTTTGTTCTGGCAGCCCGTAGTATATTCAATATTCTTCACAAACACCATAATTCAAATGTGTCGACTCTTCTTCAGTCTTCCTTACTCATTGTCCAGCTTTCACATGCATATGAGGTGACTGAAAACACCAGGCACACCTTAGTCTTCTAGGTGACATCTTTGCCTTTTAAGACTTTTTAAGAGGTCTTTTGCAGCAGATTTGCCCAGTGCAACACATTGTTTGATTTCTTGACTGCTGCTTCCATGGGCATTGTTTGTGGGTCCAAACAAAATGAAATCCTTGACAATTTCAATATTTTCTGCGTTTATCATGATGTTGCTTATTGGTCCAGTTGTGAGGATTTTTGTTTTCTTTATGTTGAGGTGCAATCCATACTGAAGGCTGTTGTCTCTGAGCTTCATCAGAAAGGGATTCAAGTCCTCTTTGCTTTCAGCCAGCAAGCAGATTGTCTTTCTCCAAACCTGATGCCGTGTTCTTCTTCATATAGTCCAGCCTCTCAGATTATTTGCTCAGCATACAGATTGAATAAGTATGGAGAAAGGATACAACACTGACGCACACCTTTCCTGATTTTAAACCACTCAGCTTCCCTTTGTTCGCTTTGAACGAGTGCCTCTTGGTCTATGTACAAGTTCCATATGAGTACAATTAAGTGTTCTGGAATTCCCATTCTTTGCAGTGTTATCGATAATTTGTTATGATCCACACAGTCAAATGCCTTTGCATAGTCAATAAAACATTTTCAGCCAAGATCCATCTGATATCAGCAATGATACCCCTCATTCCATGTCCTCTTCTGAATCCGGCTTGAGTTTCTGTCAGTTCCCTATCAATGTACTGCTACAACCGCTTTTGAATGATCTTCGGTAAAATTTTACTTGTGTGTGATATTAATGATATTGTTTGATAATTTCCACTTTCTGTTGGATCACCTTTCTTTGGAATGGATACAAATATGGATCTCTTCCAGACATTTGGTGAGGCAGCTGTCTTCCAAATCTCTTGGCATAGACAAGTGAGCACCTCCAGCGCTGCATCCATTTGTTGAGGTATCTGTATTGGTATTCCGTCAATTCCTGGAGCCTTGTTTTTTGCCAATGTCTTCAGTGCAGCTTGGACTCTGTCCTTCAGTACCATTGGTTTTTGATCATATACTACCTCCTGAAATGACTGAATGTCAACCAATTCTTTTTGGTACAGTGACTCTGTATATTCCTTCTATCTTCTTTTGATGCTTCCTGTGTCGTTCAACATTTTCCCTGTAGATTGCTTCAGTATTGCAACTTGAGGCTTGAGTTTTTTCTTCAGTTCTTTCAGCTTGAGAAATGACATGAGTGTTCTTCCCTTTTGGTTTTCTAACTCCAGGTCCAAGTTGGACCATAACCAAAAACCAAAACCAAACCTGTTGCTGGAGTTGATTCTGACTCATAGCAACCCTATAGGACAAAGTAGAACTGCCCCATATGGTTTCCAAGGAGTGCCTGGTGGATTCAAACTGCCAGCCTTTTGGTTAGCAGCCGTAGCTCTTAACCACTATGCCACCAGGGTTTCCAGTTGGACCATACAGCCTAACAATAAATGGAATAAAGGACATAGATTATAACGTTTGAATGTAAAAGGGAATGCTTGTTCTTAACCAAAGTAGTTTTCACTGTAGTGAGAGAATGCTAATTAATTTTAAAAGGCAAGAGGAAATAGCATGTTTTACCTTTTTGTACAAGATTAGGATGAGTCTAGTAATTCTAGTACTGCAAGACAGAGACTTTGTTTTTGGTTT